TACATTTTGTTTATTATTTATATTGGCTGCAATGTTAGATTAAATGATTCATCACTTGCCAGTTGATTCTGATACTAAGATGTTTGATATTTAATAAGCTATGACCTACTGCAAGGTTTTACAAGTTTTTGGCTGATCATATTTCTAAAACATGTCCAGTCCAGTATTTTAATGTAACTGGAGCTAAAATGATCTCAAAGAATTTCAGCGTGTGCTAAACAACAACATAATTAGGAGAATAATTCACTGACCTAAATATCCCTATTTTATATTTCATGTGGCTGTAGCTTTTATCTTGGATGGCAAAGCTCTTTCATTATTTCCCTCTGTTGTACTTGAATCGGCTACTAATTGATCGTTGCTTCATTTTCCAGGGACTTTTAGCCATGGCGCTATGGATGGAAATGCTGATCTGTCGGTCCACCACTTTGGTCCAGATGGAAATATCTTGACAACTGTAGGTTGGATTGACATGAAATTTAGTACAAACATTCATGGTCCCCAAAGAAGAACCATGATGATTTCTGTTGATCCCCTGACTTTTCATTTAATGACACCAACAGGTCAAAGTTGGTTGGAATGCCATGTTATTTGATGCCCATACATATGCATAATCCCAAAAGGATGAATTGTAATAATTTCAGTGAACCTCTGACATTAACTCACCATCCTCAGGTCAAAATTCAAATTTTGTGCAATTAATTTGGTTCATGACTGAATAGATCCGAAAAATGAATGACATTCCCATCAGCATCAGCTGTACTTTGTGTTTAGTGCTAACTAGCTAATGTTAGCATGCTAACACACAAAACTAAGACGCTGAACATGGTGAACACTAAACATAATTAGCATCCGCATGTTAGCATTTGTAGTTTGCATGTTTTGCTCATTGCACCACTGTGCCTAAGTACAGCCTCACAGAGCTGCTAGCACGACTCTACACTTTTGTTCATTCACATATGCCAAATATTTCAAATAGCCAAATAGACTATATAGTAAAGCATTTTATATTCATGTATTTTGAATATATTTTGGTTTTGGAGCATTTCCCTCTATTTCATGACCTTAAAACGTGTTCATTCATTGTAAAAAAAGAAGAAAAAAAAGAAAACAATTGCCAGATTATTCGATAATACGAATAATTGTTAGTCACAGCACTAGTTGCGTTGTGGTTTTGCTACTGCCTTGCAGAGTTCCAATCACAGAGCAAAAAGGTCACTTCCATATCGGAGATCTGACAGTAACGTTAGCAAAATCTAATTTCTTGTTCAGACCTGTAACTTACCCCATGTTGACATGATTGGATGAAGTCTACTTGAAAAGCTTGTACACCTTCAGCTAAGCCAAGGCATTACAGAGGACCTCAACATGTGTTCCACACCCCTTGTCTGATGGAGTCTAACCATGATACAACAAGCCTAAATGATCACTTCTTTAGTTCAAGGCTTTCTCTTGGTAAACTTGCCCTTTAGCAGCGCCAAATTCAGTATTGATTGGCTGGGGATGGGGAGCACACATACACACACATACACACCATTCATCTTTGCTTGACCTCTAATGCCAAAGGGTTGTAGAGCTAATAAAAAGCTAATTATTAAATCAAAACTGCTCCTACAAGCAATTTTCCTTGAATGTGAGTCTCAATTCAAGTAAAGAGCTCGGCTGGGTTCGAGTCAGGCCAGTGCTATAGGAGCGTTCATTACAGTCTGAAGAAGTTTAGATTAGCGGAAATGGCTCAGACAAAAACAGCTGCTCGTCCTTAATAATCACCTCACTTTTGGGGTTTTGTCCCCCGTTGACTCAGAGAATGTTCCACCCAGTGATTAAACTGGATATATTTGATGTATTTAAACACATTAAGGCTACACTTAGTGACATATTTTCAATATGTTCACAGTTTCGGGGCATTGCTGTTCATGCACCCGTATTAGGTAGATGTAATTAGGCTTTGACTGTGGGAACGCAGCTGCAGAAAACCCATAAATACGTACAGCACTATGATTGATACCTTGCCATGTGATCCTGTGTGTAAAGCAGGCCATTAATCAAAGTGCTGACATGAGTAAGTAAATGACTGTAAAGCCTGGGGAGAAGAGGAATGGTCTGATGGCGTTCAGTGTCGTGGATCTGCTGAGGATGAGTTTGACCTCACAGTTATGTCAGCTATCGGGCTACGTTACACCTCCGAACAGCAGCGCCGTTTCCTGAACGAGTGGCTCCGTCAGTCCACTGCTGAGTCATGATGACATTGAGAATGTCCTTTAATAAGCGTGTTGAAGCTGTGGCTGCTTTGCTGCTTGTCTTCCTTCTCAGGCACTGTCATAGCTGCAGCAAAGGAAAGGAGGCACTTGCTGAACATTTTTATTCTAACCAAAACCTTTACTCAAGTCAGGCAATTTGAAAATAATTAGTCTAAATAAATACCCAAAAACCTCCTCGCATGGCTATGGGGGGAATTCATTTCCCATACTGCTGTGGTCTATTAAGTGATGTGATGTGTGTCCTTGCTTTCTTTGCCAGTAAGCTCAGGAAATGCCATCACTTTGTCGATATCTGGGGAATGGAGCACAAAGAAAGGCGACCATCCCCAATATGAATGCATTCACTCAAATCTATAATGGTTTGAAGCTCCAAGGCTTGTTTTTGTCTCCCTAGATGGTCAGCAGGATCCGATGTAATGAGATGCCTGAAGGTTTTTTACCGAGCTTTCTTTTGCTGAGCAGATATCTAAGAAGAACAAAATACCCCCTCTCTTTATGCCAGTAGAAAGATAGTTCTGACATTGTCTCTAATTTTTAATTTGTAATCTTTTGTCCTTCGACAACGCAGCTGTAAAATGGCAATTTTATTCTATTCCAATCTTTCAATATATCAATGTTGCTCCTATCTGCTTTTCCTGATACTTGCTATAGTTTATTTAAGGAAATATCCAAGCAGATCATGATATATAAGAATGCTTGCTACAGATATCTCACTTGCACATTATTAAAATAATATCCCTCTGCCTCTGCTATTCTCTCAACACGTGTTTTGTTATATATTGAAAGATAATACTTTCACTGCACATTCATGACATTCAAAGTCTATTTTCAAGCCTATGAAATACACATCAATGCTAGCGTTGGTCATCTTTCCAAACTACGTTGATCACGAAGTGTAAATTTCAAGGTTACGGCTGTTTTCTTTTGAACGAGAATGAATGTTTTTCATCAATCCCGTAACCTGACTGGCCCTTCCTTTCCATGCCACACACATCAAGTCGGCTCTGTGTGGATCGACAGACAGAATATAATCACAGTGAGGTAAAAAGGGAAGTCTCAGCCACTCCTGTTGTCATGCCAGAGTATTTTAAGTAACAAAGCTGGCAGCGCAGGAGGATGACTGTCTTTGTCTTGCCCATAGAGGAAGGAATCACCGTGATGGATAATGACTTGACGGCGTACGTCCTTTGGCCAAAGTTGCCTGGCACTGAGGAATTTTATTCTGTCTTTTCACTTCATATATAAGGGCCTGGAGAGAAATAGAAAGAGAAATAGAGAGGTGAAAATCTTGTGGCTGCTGGAGGAAAATGGAGCAGGGAAGTGGATTGTTTGATACTGTGAAGGGTAGCCGTGTTGGAGATTAAGTGAGACCGACTTGTCCTGGGCTGACATCGGACTTATCACACTGGGCCAGGTGATGATTTGATGCTTGGAAACGAAGATGGAAGCGAAACGAATCAGTTGTTAGACCATAGTGGACAGGTAAAGGGCTTTTTGTTCGATACAAACTTCATGCACCTCCCAGTGGTTGCTCAGTGTCACATTGTAGTCACTCCACTCACTGTCACATTGGCTGTCGGAGTGGGCCGCAGCAACGCCATACACACAAGTAGGAGCAGTTAATATGCGTGACATGATAGACTGTGAAATGGTAGACTGTGAAATTTGTGACACCTACACTCTTACTTTATTTCTCTCCTTCATTTCTTAAACTCTGACATGACAGCCCTGACTGCGGCCCGAGATGAATTTAAAAAGATTGTATTGACGTATCAAAAGGCAAAAGCTTGCGTCATAAATACTTCATTGACTGGATGAATAGCTGAAGGTGACAAGCCTAAAGCCCCTCCCTGAATACAAACTGATGTACGGTAGAGTTGGAAGAAGAACCTGAGTGGAGAATTCTGTTCTTTTAATGCATGAAGGCTCTCTGCAGAGAAACGCAAGCAATATGGTAATCTCTCTTGGGTTGCGTGCTGCTGTACTGCAGGCAGAGCTGTGACATGTCATGTAGCTTGTTTTGAATTTCAGGGACAAGTGAGAAACTGAAGGCCTGTGACCTTGGCCTCCCTGTCGAGAAGCAAAAATAAAAGCAACATTTTGCGGTAGAAATAGCCTCTTAAGTGAGTTACAAACCCCCGCTCTCATCCATCTTCATCAGATATGTATGTGGCATCGACCTTATGTTAAAGCGTGCAGTAATTATTTGGATCCATTAATCACCTTATTTTCCAAGTCACAAAATCTCATCAGGAGCTGAAGATTCGCCCGTTCTTTGTTTTGCACAGATAAATTCCAAAGCTGTGTCAAAATATGATGAATTTTTCATTATGCTCCCCTTTACACTTTGTTCTCCTTTAGCTACAATGATGCAGTGAAATATTAATGACAGGACACACATTCATAGCCGCGGTATCTCCAAGTCTGTTTTTCTGATGCCTCTCCTGCTGCTTATGCTTCTTTCCTGTTGTTTCATAATCAGATCAGCGCTCATATCGCGCCCAAAGCTGCCAAGTGGAAAAAGGAGCAAGCTCAGTCAATGAGATTAGAAATGTATGACTGCCTCTCTTGTGTGTTGAGGATTGTTGCCTCCTTCACTAGAATACTGACTAGAAGTAGATGATAAACATCCCAAAATGTGTTAAAACGACACCACGTCTGGCGGGGTTTTGCAGTGTAGTTAACTAAGCCACCTCAGCTGTTCTAACAAAAAGACTGAATATGTTTATTGTCCTCTAGGTGGTGCTTTCCCGTGACGCCAGTGGGAGTCAATTGCCTCAGCTCTGCCTCTCTGACCGCCATCTGATCGGGATGCTGATGTGAAACCTGCGATGGAGACCGGGGCTTGATATCTGGTGAGTTTGTCGTGTTTTCCAAGTCGCTGCATATTGACTGTGAGCGACTGCCGCTCTGCCCCTAGCTAGGACGCCTCTAATTAAACTAAAAATGTCATGTTAGCAGTGGTGCATCAGCAGATTGAAGATGCAGTACTATGAGGATCACCGTTGGGGATCTGTTCCAGAAAAGACTGCAACTACAGGTGCAGAGCAGAACTGGGTCAAATTTGCAAAGTCTTTTTTTGTTTTTCTTTGTTTTACGTAGGTTTAACAAACATGTGTGTGGAGTTTGTCAAATCAGAATCACCTTTATTGCCTAGATATGTTTACAGACATGCTGTGCATCGCAACAAAGGCTCAAGCAAACACAAACATATTGCTATTGTGCACAGGGAGGCAGGTGTGAGAATAGATACATACAGTATAATGTATACAAACAACAAATGTACAACAACGTACAATTTCTGCAGGGTCACAAATGTGTGTGTGGGAGAATAATTGCATGTGTAGTAATTAACATTATATGCATACAGTAGGTGTTTTATGGACAGTGAATACAGCCTCTGAGCTTTATTTTGACAATAATGGATCATATGTACATTTTATAGCACAATATGCATATATCACTGTCAAGTATATTACTTTTAAGTACATTACAGTACATTGTTTTGGTATTACAGTGTTGTTGTACTGGAATTGTTTCCTGCCAGCACACGTCTAATTTAACTGTTCATGAGAGTGATGTGAAGAAACTGTGTACGTTTGGTTTTAAAAGTGCGGGAACACAATGATGGCAGAGGTTCTTGTTCCCGATGGTGAGGTCTTTGCCTCAGGAATCAATCAGCTGATCCACTTCCTCATTACATACATGGCTTTTGTTTGTAACTCCCCCCCCCCCCCCCCAAAATGCTCGACCTGAAGTCATCAAGTGGTGACAGTAGTGGAAGCAGGAAATTTGTCTTGCTCTGTTTTTCTTAAGACCAACATTTGAGGCTGTGGATATGTTCACAGTTGTCTAGGTCTGGTTTGTTTAACAAAGTAGTTACACAATAACACCTTTGAGGAGGAATCCAGAACAACAAATTGTTGAAAAAAGCACGATTATTTGAGTTAAAGCAGTCCTACATTTGAGATTATTTGGCTCAAATTTAGCTTAACCATGTAGACTTTAGAAAGAAAGATTACTTGGACCACTTCATGAAATTGAAGATGAACATTTAATCTCTGTATTTACATTACATACAGACACAGGGGACTATCCCTGTTACAATTTGGCCACAACTTAGTACATTGGCCAGACACGGTCATACACTAGGTTTCGACCAAGTCTTGTTTCAGCCTTAGGTATTGCTTGCAGTCCTTCTCTTACAGTTCACACAGGCTCTCCTCAATAAACTAGGGGAACAAATATCTAACCTGAAAGACAAAACAGAGCAAGTGCCTTAAGGCTGTGAGCGGGGGATCAGTGAGTGGTTCCCCACTGCTTTGAGTGTATCACCATTTTGATCGTCTCTTCTATTCTTTCATCGAGATTTTGACAACTGGACAGTACGTGTATATTATTCAGAGACATTTTAGAAAGAAAATATAAGGAGGCTACAGTAATACCCTTCGATGAACAAACACTACCTCAACATGGACTAAAAGGCAAACCCCTACCCATCTAGCACCTCGTGACTTGACTAACTTTGCCAAGTATTCCAAATTATTTGACCCATGTGTGGCACAAAAAGGTTCTACCTGGAGTCGTAGTGCAATTGACGGCATCTCTAACCAACCTGAAACGGGCCATAAAACACTCTTCAGAACGCTGCGGCAGTACATAAATGCAGTTTCACATTGCAATCGTACATTATATACAGTAGCATGAAACTATTAATTAAAACACGGTACATGAGAGGATAGAGTTAATGATCTGTGCTGCGTCTTCAGAGGGCAGTCAGCCGAGAATAATTGTGTGCATCGGAAGTGCAGTAGGTACCTGTATCCCCTTAACATCTGTCTGGTGTACTCGAAGTAGGTTTGCATCCTGAAAATGTCATCGGCATTACATCTAGGCACTATATCCGATGCAGCCTTTCTGGCAGTAGCTGTACTTTACTGAGGGCATAGTTCTGGGAAAAGGTCTGGGTAATTCCCCTGGGGCAGTTCAGTAAGGAAGGGGTTGGAGTTGATGTTATTTTACCTACCTCTGACCCACTGTGGTCACGGACCCCTGTGGTTTCTGCGGTCAGGGGGGACTCGCACAGTGCTGAGAACAAAGAAATATGATGGCTCCCACTTGTCCTCCTCTGGTTCAAAGGGAATGGCAGGGCAATGCTAATTAGCCAGCTTGTGTTACTGAATTGAACATAACTGCTGTTCCCTTCAGTGTTCCCCCTCCCCCTCATCGTACGCCAAACAAGCAGCGTCTACAACAGTCATGCACCCTGCATAACTCTGCATATTTTGTGCACCGTGAGACATCCTGTTCTCATGCTGTCCTAAAAAAGAAAATAATTCAAATAGTTAGATTAATCCTTTTTTAAGAGAATTGAATTCACCCTTTCCTGTTAAGTAATTTGTTTTGTGAAAGTGCAGCAGTTCTAGCCCACATGTATTCTTTCGACATTTTCGCCCAGCTGTTCCTTGGAGTGTAGTTTAATCCTGACTGTCAAGTTTGAGGTCGATAAGAGGCGTAACAAAAGGATTCCCCACCAGTTCATCTCTGCGCGTTCAAAATGATGGTACTACAACTGAGAAAATGGTGCTCTGTAAGTTGGTAGTGAATTCATGTTTTTAATCAGGGATCGAGGGGAGAGTGAGGAGGAGGTCAAGTTATTATCCTCACATATTCAAAATTCCAGTGGCGGCACTGTGTGCATCCCCTCCCCTGTCAGGTGGTCTGTGGTCTGCTTCTCTTGTCAAAGTAATCTGAGTCTTGCAGTCAGTGTTTCCTGGAATACCAAGTATTGAAGGCGATGACAGGAGGTGTCGAGCAGCAGCTCAGGGTGTTCTCGAGGTGTACGGCACACGTTACCGTGTTCAGATAACATCTCTGCTCCCGATTCTTCTTTCTGCAGCTCTAATCATCCCCAGAAATTAAGCTATACGCTCCGTGTCATCCACATCTCCGAATAACAAGAGCTTTGTGAATTTGAAATGCCGTAGCTGAAGCTATTTCAAATGATATTGGAGGAAAATATGGTAAAATCAAACACACCTGCATGCGTGCAAGCACAAGTCAGATACAATGATGCGTAGCTCCAGGGGAGTTGTGCTCAGCGTCTGGGAACGTTCTCCCTTTTTCTCTCTCTCAGTCAAATATCTTTTTGTTAGTGCAGATGCACTCAGGGTTGGCAAACACATCGAAGGCTGAGTCACTTAAACAGCCTCGTCTTGACACACAGCTGACTCACAGTCTATTGATTTCATATTCTTTCGTACTGTTTGTTGTTATGCAGCCTATGTATTCAGGCAGGAAGGGCGTTGTTTGAACTCCTCCGAGGCACATATGCTTGTCTCGGAGCTACATCACATGATTAAAAATGTAGACCTGTGTTTAATCGCACATGGAGGTGCAACCTTATTGCGTAATGCTCATTAGTTACCAGAAACACAACTGAGTTTAAGAATCCACTTACATTAATAGCTGAGAATAGCACAATCAGTGTTTGTGAGCATAAACAAGCCTCTCTCTCTCTCTCTCTCTCTCTCTCTCTCTCTCCCGGAGTGGTAAAACAGCGAACCCTTCATCTGTGTTGTCATGCAAGTGTAAAGCCTGGAGCTCATTCATTCAAAATAAACGGCGCATTGCATTTTTGATGCAACTTTTACTGCAGTGCTTGAATCCAAAGAGGCAGGCTCTTAACCTAAAAAGGTATCCATAATCACTGAAAATGTTTCCACTCTCCTTTATAAATGTATCATTTGATTCACTGCTGCAGAAATCAGCAGGGCATCACAAAGTACAGAGCAGGACAAACTTTTCTATCTCGTTTCCGGCATGGAGACTGAATTTAGTGAACTTAGAGGTACAAGTTCAGTGACACAGACAGAAACTAAACCTATTTAGTACATTTAGTCTCTGAGGCAACCCAGACCCACAACATATCTTAACTAGGATCAAGTTAATCATGCTTTGTTGTGTATATTGCACGACTATTGTATGGCTGATATACTGTATGTTCAGACACAAATTTACATTTTTGGTGTACTCACTGCAATTTATTCTGCCTCGTTTTTTAATTAGAGTATAACAGCTTTTCTCTTAAGGTGCTAAAATAAATTGTCACTGAATACAGATATGATATTTTATGCAAATAGAAAATGATGTTTATTTAAAGGGATATTTTGAGATATCTACCTTAACTCAAAGGAAAATCCTCTACCACCCATTGTGCAGAGACACGTACAGAAATGCACCTACTGCGCTCCCCTGACTGCTCTTTCATCATAAATGTGAAGCCCCTTGGCTCATGATATAAAGTGGCCAGTATTGGTGTCCATCTGGGCATTGCTCGAAACTCCGCCATGACACAGGACCACCTTCCTTTTATATCACTTACCAACTACAGCGTTTGGGAGAAGGCTGCACGATAGTGGCAGACGAGTTGCTGGTTATGAGCCACAGCTTCTCCATTGTCTAGCATGCCGGAGAAAGAGTGGGAGCCCCTAAAGAGGCCTGGCAGTCTCTGCTTCCATCTGCCTGCATGCCTCGCCATGGAGCCCAGCTCGCACCACTTGAGATTATACTCACGTCCAAGCTGTTACTGTAATTTGCATTGGCTCATAGGCAGAGGAGAGTGAGGAGGAGGAGGAGGAGCTGCACATGAGGCAGGGATGTTGTAAGTGGTGCTGGCAGCACAATGAGCTTGCCTTGGTAAAGCATTATGTACAAGTAGCATGGGGAGAGCTATATTAAAGTGCAATAATGGCTTTGAGCAGGTTGCCCTGCTGTCCAAGATTATTGATTGTGTTCGTGCTTGAAGTAAATTATAGAAATGTATTGTTTGGAATGATCGCAGTCACATTTAGTA